CATCTCCATCCGTCCACGGTCTGACTGCACGCCGGGAACGCACCAGATTAGGGCTGCTGCTGCTGCACTTATTCTCCTTATCTTTTTATTTGGATTAATCGATTTAGAGCTATAGTTGCTTAATCAATTGTTCATCTGACAGAAGCATTTTGATAATCCATTAATCTTTTGCGTCATTTCTCAGGCAAAAACGACAAATGTTGGATTATTTCGGCATCTAAAATGCGATGATGTAATGTTGAATGATATTAAAGTGAATTTTAGAGTCTTGATCAGACGTTTGTAGACGTCAACTTATTTGAAAAACAATGGCTGGTGCATTTTTTAGACATTAATCAAGAACGTAATCTGCAAACTAATTGGAAATAATAGGTACATCTTTTTTACCATTTACTCAGAAGAATACAAGGTCCATTTGAATGCTCAAGTAGCTTGTTTTGAGTCATTTCCCAAACAAAAACGACAGATGTTGGATTATTTCAGCATCAAAAATGCAATAATTTCCTGTTTTTTTGTTACATTATACGTCTTTAACAATATTAAAGTGAATGTTAGAGTCTTGATCAGACAAAACAAGACATTTCCAGACACCAACTTGTTGTCTGAATAACAACGGCAGCATATTTCACTATTTTCTGACATTTTTCAGATATTAATCAAGAATGTAACCTGCAGACTAATTAAAAATATTAACGTTTTGGACCTAAAGCTGTTTCTCATTTAACCAAAAAACTCAATGTTAGCGCTCAAACAGCTTGATTTGAGCTATTTGCTAAGCAAAGACGACAGATGTTGGATTATTTCAGCGTCTAAAATTGTCACATTATACGCCTTAAATAATATTAAAATGAATTTTGGAATCTTGATCAGAAAAAAACTTTTTAAAAAACAACGGCAGACATGTTTCACTTCTTTCCGACATTTTTAGACAACAATCAAGAATGTAATCTTCCAATTAATTGATAACAGTAGTTTTAGTCAATCAAATAGCTTGTTTTGTCCAAAAAAAACAAAATATATCGAAGTTGCGATGGCATAAAAAGAGGAAAATAAAGATCCTCAAGTCGGAGATGCTGAAATCAGTGCTTCATACGTGATGATTTCAAATTTCTCGTGAATTTTCTGTCGCTTAATCAACCAATTGTTTATCGTGCATCCATATTGGTTTTCTTAATGTTTCCTATTTTTGGATTAAGGTGCTCTAAAGAAGAAAAAACAGCCACATCCACATATTTGAGTCCTTCATCTCGACCATTATCATGACACTTTTCATCAGTAAGCCAGGAGCTGAGTGGAGTCAGTGAAGCACTGCGATGTGAATGACGCACTTGTGGCACTAAATCTGTGACACTCCGCAGGCAGTGAACCCGGATTGGCACGAATCGCAGATGTTTGGGGTTGCGACCTCTGGCTGGGGCGAAGCAAAATGTCTGCAACAACAAGGCCGAGTGTATCGTTTCCCTGAAAGACTGTTTGTCTGTGATTGCAAGAGCGTGCATGTGTGTCAGAGACGGAGAAAACAGAGACTCATTCTTCTCGTGCCGGGTTTAAACGTGAACAACAATGCTCGGTGTGTGCGTGCCTGCCCGCCCGTCAATATGTATGCTTTCTTCATCACAAAGCTCGTGTGCTTTAATCATTCATATTGAGTTACTAAAGACGTGCCATGTTCTTATAATCAAACGCGTTTCCTCAACAAAGTGCTCTTTTGAGGAACATCCAAATTCCAGCAGAAAAGAGGACCATAAGATGTGCGGATCTCTTTTAGGGAATAAACATGATTAAAAGGCAACGTGAAGAGGAAGGACAGAAACACAACTCCAACAATTAAGACGACAAGAGAGAACACTTAAATTGCTTTACAGAGGTACAAGACTTCAGGCTGTTCCAGCTCTTTATGATACAGTATCATCTCGCTTACTTTGAGCGTGTGTGTTCATTTGCATAAGAGTGTGGGTGTGTGATATGCACACAAGCGTGGCTGCATGTGGGAGTGTTTATGTGCGAGCTCGAGTGTCTATGATAGCAGATTCGCCATTCAAGGGTGAAGCCAACCAGCTATCCAGCTAGTCAGAGGCCTCCAGTTCTGGGAGTGCGGCCAGGGCTCCAATCCCACCACATTCCCCTGGATTAGCTGTCAACCAGTCCCCAGATCTGAGGATTAGCACATTATATTCCATTATCTTTCCCAAACTGGAGAGTCCACAAAGTCTACATCATTGCTCTCAGTGGGGGCCAGTAGGACAGGGCTGAGTAAGAGGTGCCTTCAAACCGGGCCAAATTGAGCCAAACTGAGCCGAGCCAAAACCAAATCTGTAACTAAGACTGTACTCCGGCTCAATGTTGCCTAGCAACCAAATTAGTTCGAGGAAACAAATAGGCAAACCGCATTTCTAAATATCAATTTTACATCACGGCGCTGATATTTTCTCACCGTTATCCGCAACAAAGTGACACGATGGCTGCCGGAGACGAGCGTCAATGATATATTTTTAAAAAAAAACACAAATAAAAACAAACCCTGGTTTTATCTCGCACACATTCCTCTTTCACTATTCCCGCTGAGCGACACACAGAGCGGAGTGTGTGCGACTCCTGGGAGCCGTGTTGTTTTTCACTCTGTGATCCGGGCGGACTCGGGGGAATGAGGGAGCCATTATCAGCAAGGGGCCGTGATAGAGACTTGATCAGGCCGTCGGTCTGCGGGGACCGAGGAGCCAGAGTTAATCAGAGACAGACAGACCCCTCACCACCCTGGGGATTCACACGCTTCGACCCCGACGCTCTCCCTCCCCGTCGCACAAAGACACATGCACGGCAACAGTCACAAAAGCACATGTGCTCGCTCGCTCGCACCTTCTCCTGCATTTGGCTGTTGTCAGAGCCTCCGCCACACCCTCTGTGCACGCACTCCGCTGTCACGCTTCACTGTCGACCACTGCTTTGGATTAAACCGGAAAGTCCACATCCATCACCAACAATGGACCCAAGCAAACAACGTGGAATTCATCGCATCCCTTTATTATAAAGTAAGATCAGTAAAACGCAGCAGCCCCATGGGTCAGTCATTACCAACTCCTGCTGTGAAGCTAAACACCATTTAGAGACACAGCTTTATTCACGCCTAGCGGAGATCCCAAATTTACAAAGACAGCAATGTATGAGCCCAAATTCAACAAAAAAACATGCACATACAGTAACGCCAGTGACACCAAAACCCATCATTTAAAGATTATTTTCCAACTTCAGCGCTCCACCAGGGGAAACTGCACTTTAGGAAGTCATAACCTCATAAATCAGCCCCCTCAGTGCAACAGACACGACCTTCTGAACTTGAGCCAGGTCAAACAACGCCGTCTCAACGTTTGAAATGCAACAAAATCGTACATTTCTCCGTAAAAACAACCTCTTCTGCCTCTTTTGCGTCGACAGTTTCAGTCCCAGAACCGCGGCTTGACCCCACTTCTCGTCCGTTTGGTCAAACAACAGTGACTGCGACTGATTTACGAAGCCAAAGACTGAAACGAAACGCGTCTCATACGGCGGCAGAATTTGAAGCTTGAAGTTCAGCCGTTTATTGACCAGGGCTGTCAAACCGGAGCCGTTAAAGAGCTGACATGCAGGTATCCAGCTGGCCTACCTCTGGAGAAAGGTGTAGGAAATTATATGGCATTTAGATTAATTAGACACAGTTGTCAGATTTAATTAACTACTAGGTTTAATTAACCATGTAATTAATCTTATGGTGGTCCAACACATGCGCACACACACACACACACACACACACAGAGGCAGGCGTGGAGACACACACATCAACTAGTGCCCACACAGACATGCACAGTACACGCACAACAAATGTAATCTGTTCAGCTGACAAGCGCTCACACTTTTTGCCGTCAAACCTCATAAGAGAGTTCGACTGAACGGGTGACTGACTACCAGCTAAAACAGCCTGAATGAAAACGCGCAAGGTAAGAATAGCACCTCTAATCCATTTCAGGTTTAACTTGTGCCCGGGCGGAACGATAATCTCGCAGCCGAAGCAGCCTGTCCGGTCAACACCCGCGCCACCGTGTAATCCGCATTCAAATATATACCAGGTACCATAATGCAAATATTTATTACAACGCGAGGACACTCCAGGTGAAGAGCAGAAATCCATTTTTAAACTCCAAGCTTTTGCAATCCCATCAGAACACTCATTTGCAGTTTGCAGCGAGATCCAGTTGCACGCGTGTTGGTGTGTGTTCGATATGTTACTGATCGACTCTTCAGAAGATGAGAGGGTCAAGGAGGCCACGGACCCTGACCTTTCATCGCCCGGTCCAGCCCCCGTAGCCGCGGCTAGCATCGCCAGGCCTCCCTCTGAATGTGTCCTCTGTGTATATGCATTGTGTGTGCGAATGTGCGTGTTAATGTGCTGGTGTGATCAGCCAGCTGCTTTACGCGATTTGACCTTTACTGAAGCCATGAGTGGACCAATAAATAGCCGGGCAGCACCCTGACCTTTCACCTTCGGGAAAACAGATTCACCAGGACCTGAGAGCGGAGAGGGGAGGGGGGGTCCGGCGTTTTTCAGGAAGCCACCAGCTGAGCTACGGCGTTAGATATCCAATCGAGACAAATTACAGTTATAGAAAGCCACGAAGACTCTCTATTAGACTTTAAAAATTCAAAGCTGGGAGTCTAAGGGCTTTCCCATAAAATATAGAAGCGGTGTTCATAGGTGCTGCATTTTTTAAAAGCAATGCTATTTCAGACGTCTGGCTCGCAGTCTGTCCCATCCAAAACAGAGGCTGCAGCAGACACGCAGACATTTAAAAAAAAAAAAAAAACGCAGACGTGTCAAAACAAGAACCGACAGCATTATCTGCAGCAGAATAGTCCCTTCTTTCTGATGCACGCTCCGACCGCGTGCGCTCACAAGCATGCGTGCGCTGGATGTGTGTATACTTGTGCCCCCTTCGTGCACCGCAGGAGGGTTGGTTAAGTTCACTCACATAGTCATGGAAAGCCTTGGCCTCGCTGGAATGTTCGCATGTCTCCCTCCGGTCCGGGGCAGCGCAGTACAGATCCCAGAATACACTGTGCACACAGGACAAGACAGCGACAGCAGTTAGACACTTTGCTCTGAGATCCAAACACATATTATGGTCTCTGTTGCAGATATAGACGAGTGTGCAGACATTGAGCGGTTAAAATGAACTGATGGAGCTGCGACGAATCAGCAGAGATATGTTTTTTCAAAGTAAAGTAAGGTGTCGGTATTGTGCGTACAACGTGTGTGAGTGTTGGTAGAATGCTGCAAATAAAACTTTACAGATATGTTGTCAGCTCATTTTGTTCAACTGACAAAGCGGGTCAAACTTTTCAAACACAGACCAAAAATCTGCCACCGTCAATGTCGTATATTATTCATGAGCTCTAATGATAGCAGTCGTCTGAACATTAGCAGCCAAAGAAGAATTTCTCCAAGAGTAAAATTAGTGATGAAGGTTTCTACTGATTCAGCGTCCTGAATGGAAGAACAGTGTGTGGGAATGTCCTCTATCACCTCAGGAAAAGAGGTGACAAACATGAAAACATAATGAAAGAAATGAGGAAAAACACACAATAATCTCAAAAGTTGTAACTAATGGTGATTGGAAGTATTGATGAATCTCGTAATTAGTCTCACAAAAGTCACCGCAATTTTTCAAAAGCGGACGTATCATATTTGCTGGAATTTAGTCACAGAGAGTAAAGAAAACTAGCAAATATCCACATTTGAGATACTTTTAAACCCCACAACCTGTCAACCAGTATGAGCGACATGTTTTCATTTAAAGAAAACCTCCAAAACTACACCATGTGTCAGAGTCAGGAACTTAAAAAACTGAAAGAAGAGCAGCATTTTCTAATAGTTCTTGAATTAATCATATGTGACATGAAGTTCCTTTGAGAAATCTAAACAAATCTGAGCTTAAAATTGTAATATTTCATTGAAATATCTTCATACGTCTCACATAGAACTTGTGACAAGCAGTCACAAGACAAACATTCTACATTTTGGCTGAACTGCAGGCTGTGTACACAGAGCAGGGAGGAGACAAGCATGGAAGCAAAATTAAAAACATGCACAGAAAAACATCAATTTCATGTGGAGTTACTAATTTTCAAGAATTGACAGCAACATAAGTGGGCACTTGGAAACATTCTGTAAATGCTGCTCCAGTTTTGTTTTGTTTTTTGATTTTCATAAAATAAATCATCAAAGAAACTCAGCTTTTTCTTTTATGAATCACAAAACAAATCCTGTAAAAAGTAAAATAAAAAATCTGTTCTCTTCAGTACAACCATGAAGCCAGCAGTAAGTCAAAAGTGAGTGACAGTCATGTGACAAACAAACAGATATTTTTCTTGAACTGCAGGCTTTGCACACACAAGGTCAATAAAAGACAAGAATGGAAACAAATTTGAAATTTTACTCGTAAAGCATCTACAGCATGGAGCTCCACTATTTTCTCCACAACTGGAAAAATGCTCGTTATAAAACAACAACTATAAATGTTATATTTTAGCATATTAACGGTGTCACGCTACACAGAAAACATTTCTGCCTTCTCTCCTCTTCTGTGCTGTTTCTACACAGAGTGCAGGACTTGAGTCCACACCGACTTAAAAATAGTGACAGAAGCTAAAACTGCACAGAAATTGCTTCGGGTTCAGAAGGTTAATTGAATTGCTGTTGATCAACTTATCAATTAGTCCGCTGAGTGTCGACAGCTCAGCACTATGGACTCATTTCAGTCAGCACTCAGGAAGTATTGAGGTTTGATACTCGGTATTAAAAAGCTGTGCAAATCAGATACGCTGCAGATTTCCCTCTGCAGCTCAGCGCCAAAGAGCTTTTACCAGGAAGGACCTCCACATGTTCCTCTCAGCCTGCCCCGCCGACCCGCGGGTTATTGACCAATCAGCTGTGATTATGTTACTTACTGCCCAATCAGCCGCACTCATATTAGTTAATTAGACCAATCCCACTCCTCCAGGGCAACAGGGGCCACCAGGTCCCACTCCAAATGGACCCTTAATTACTGCACTGAAATTAAGTACTGGCTAAGCCGGTCCACATTAAGGAGTTCACCTTCTCCCAGATATTGATTTCATGGACAGCTTATGTAAAGGAAAAAAAAAAAAAAGAAAAGAAATGCTGAACGCATGAGAGGAAATTCTTGCTGCCATGTAGAGGTGCAAATAAACTGTTACATGCATTCTTTGTGCTGATGTTAGGAGCAGCCGTGACACTTGATATGACAGACTGCGAAATGGAGCAGAAAATATTAGCTGATCACCCATAACTGTCAGAGAATTGCTCGGTAGCACCCTGTCACATGTTGGTCATTTTTCATTCTCCTGGAGGTTTGATTTTTTTTTGGTGTTATTATCTCCTGAATTATAAAACTCTGTTGATCACCGCGTTCCCTCATTGAGTTATTTGGTTATTTTCGAGGGCATCGAGGAAACACGAGCGCAGCAATAGGTGTCCTAAAAATAAAAAGAACAATAAACAATAAATTTCAACCCCGCGGCACGTGCTCGCAACCTCTCAAAGCATATGAGCTAAAATAGAAATGTGTTATTAAAGTATTTAAAGATTAAAAGACAGAGCCGGTGCCCCGAGGCGCTCGGCGAGCACTGGGGTCCTTTCTAGACAAGGAGGGCGCTGAGGAACAGGGAGGGACGAACACATGGCGCGTGTGTTCTGCTGCCCTTCTGTCACTCGACAATAAAGCCAGTGTACATTATCATATCTATCGGTTGGTGTTAAAGAGATTGCTGCTCTGTCAGAGACGAGACGCAGCGAGAAGGCGCGACCATCGCAAATCCAATCAGCTCTCAGGGAAATGAAATGGGACGCAGGTTAGAGTTTGTTACAGAAAAGACACAACCAGGTGCGGGCGCGGGGGTTGGAGTAAGGTGATCTAACATCTCCTGGCCTGTGAAGTCTGAAATATTATTGCGATTTGAACAGCTGACCCGCGTCTGTCTGAGCCATGCAGGGAAATCTCATTCCGTGTCTCTCTGCATAATCTGAAGCAGGATCGCTGTGGACGAGACTAAACGCAGAGGACTTTCATTATTGTGATATTATTTTATGGGGCTGACAAAGGATGCATTTTTCTACATAGAGTTACAAGGAGAAGCACAGAAGGTGTGCGGATCACGTGTGATGAGCAGCTCCGTTGGGAGATTTAACCAAAATGAAACTGTAATATTTCACCAAATCACCTTTTTCCCCCACGTCTCACTTAAAAAATGACAAAAAAGTAGACTGTTTCACGAACCACATTCTGTGAAATAAACACATTTCTGCATTATTCTGAACAACTGGGAAGCTGTGGGTGGCTCAGCTGTGATGAAGAGCCACAAGACAAAAATTCTAAATGTATGCTGAACTGCAGGATGTGTACAGAGAGATGTGAGGAAATAAGTACTGACATAAAGAAAAAATGTGCAAAGTAAAATATCTATGTTATGTACAGTTACTATTATAATGTAGAAGACTTTCATTATTGTTGTATTATTTTACGGGGCTGACAAAGGATGCATTTTTCTACATAAAAGGTACAATGAGAAGCAAAGAAGGTGTGTGGATCATGTGTGACGAGTAGCTCAGTTCGAAGCTTTAACCAAAAGGTTTATTTTCAGCATGTCTCACTTAAAAAAAATTAAAACTAGACTCTTTTACAAACTAGATTCTACAAAAAACACAAATTTCTACATTACTCTGAACAACTCAGAAGCCACGGATGGCTCAGCTGTGATCAACAACCACAAAACAAAAACAAACAAAAATGTGGCTTAAATGCAGGCTGTGTACCCAGAGATGAGAGGAAACAGGTATGGGAATAACAGTAAAATATCTGTATGATGTATAGTCATCCTGCATCTCTCTGCATATTCTAAAGCAGGAATGTCGTTGGAAGATTTAACAGATGTTTCATTGAAATCATCTTCTTTTATATATTGCACTTAAAAAACTACAAAAAAGGCACATTTTACTGCCTTGATTCTGCAAAAAAAATATTAAAAAGTTCTTGTGAACAACTGAGAAGCCATGACTGTTGCTATAACATCACATGACTAAAATTCAAAATTCTGGCCGAACTGGGCTGAACTACAGGCTGTGTACACAAAGGGGACGGAAACAACATAAAGATGCACAGTAAAATATCTGTATTATGTAAAGTTATTATTCTGTGTTTATCTGATTAATCTGAAACAGGATCATTGTGGACAAGACTCAACGCAGAAGCAGGACTTTCCTTGTCGCGATATTATTTTAATTGGGTTGACAAAGGATGCATTTATCTCCATACAGTTAGAACAGGAAGCAAAGAAGGTGTGAGCAGGTCAAATCAAATTTAATATTGTCCAAATTACCACAGGTTTTTTGCAAACTTTTTAGGGTCAGAGTGCCATCAGGAAAAAAAGCCATTTCCCATCTACAGTACGTGTACCGCTGCACCGACTCCAGGTGAAGACGGAACCGTTGTTAGCTGTGATTTGACAACGCCACCCACATTTAGATGGAAAATCCATGTCATAGTTGTTGTCACATCCTTTTCAGAGACACTAATCTTTAGAAATTATCTGGGAAGTCAACATTCGCAGTTAATTAGCACCAGCAATCTGCAAGAAATCTTGTACTCTGCACACCCTTGTAATAGCAAAATTTCTATCCAATTATCTAATCATTTCAATCTAATCATCTCATCATGGGAAGCTCTTAATGGTATTATGGGAAGTAACTGGTGTCTGAGCAAACGCAACTCCACGTCGAGGATGAAAAGTTGAACCGCTCTTACTTTGAGGTGTCGCAGGAGAGATTTAAATTGCAGCTTGGGGGTCATGCGAACTCTTTTTTTACATTTTTTTTTTTATTTATACAAATGAGAAATAAGGCTTAAAAAAAAACACGAGCCGGCACCGTCAGCACGCAAACACCAGAACAGAAGAGGAAGGGATTAGCGTCCAGCCGTCCAGAAGAAGACAATTACTAAAATTAAATGCCATCACGATAATTATTCGCAATTAACTGT